TCATGATGGGTGCCTGTCATCCCAACTACTCGAGAGGCTGAGGGACAGGAACCGCTTGAGCCTGGGAGGCAGAGGTTACAGTGAGCTGAGATTGTACCATTCCACTCCAGCCTAGGCAACAGAGTGAGACTCTGTCTCAAAAAAAAAAAAAATTAATTCAAAACTTAGTGTGCAAATAGGTAGTTAGATGAATAGATAAATTGATTTAAAATAACTCCATATTTTGTATGTGTTTAGTTTATATATAACTTTCTTTTGCTTGATACAACAGAAGCTGAAGAAACTAAAGGTGGGAGAACTTCTGAACTTCAGATAAATGCCTTTGTGCAAGTCATATCTTTTGATTCAACATTCATTAAAATTATGAAAAAGATAAAAGTGTCATGATTATTTTTATCTGCAGTTTCTATTTTCACCCACAGCTGCTTTATTTTTGAAATTGGTGCATTTTTAGAGTTTCTGTTAATGCATGTATACTTGGATGACATCTTTCCTGGGAGAATATTCTTGATTCAGTTTCCTTTTCTTTCGTTCTTTAAGTTCTGACTCTATTGTCATCTGGTTCTGGCTGGGGCTGTGGGAAGGTCTGAGGCTGGCTGGAGGTTCTTCTCACGTGTGTTGTGTTTTCCTGCCGAAAGGCCAGTGGAGTACTTCTTTTTTATTCATTGAACTTCAGTAGCTTAGCCAGGGTTGGTTCTAGGCCAGTCATTCCGTATTAGTTTTTCCAGGTATATGGTGTGTCCTTTGACTACTGACTATGTACTTCCCTATCTCTGCATTCCTTCCTTTCCTTCTTTCTTTTTCACTCTCCTTTCCCTCCCACCCTCCCTTCCTCCCTTTCTTCTTCCCTTTCTTCCTTCCTTCATTCCTTCCTTCCTTCCCTCCCTCCCTTCCTCCTTCTCTCACTCCCTCCATTCTTACATACCTTCCTTTCTTTCAAGACAGGGCCTTGCTCTCTCACCCAGGTTCTAGAACAAATTGGTGTCATCATAGCTCACTGCAGCCTCAAACTCCTGGGCTCAAAAAATCTTCCTGCCTCAGCCTCGCTCTTAGCTGGGACTACAAGCATGCACCACCACACTTGGCTAATTTTTGTTACTTTTCTAGAGATAGGGTTTTGCTGTGTTGTCCAGGCTTTTCTTGAACTCCTGGCCTCAAGCTATCCTGCCACCTTAGCCTCCTAAAGCACTGGGATTATAGGTGTGAGCCCCTGTGCCCAGCCCTGCTTTGTTTTTAGGTTCTCTACCTCGGGGTCACCAATGGACAACCCAGTGTTAGACTATTATCTCTAATTTCCATCACTTTTTCAGTTGCTTTAATGTAGCTCTTTTATCCTCTGATTCACTTTGACTTTTTTTTTTGAGATGGAGAATCACTCTGTCACCCAGGCTGGAGTGCAGTGGTGCAATCTCAGCTCACTGCAACATTTGCCTCCCAAGTTCACGTGATTCTCCTGCCTCAGCCTCCCTCGTAGCTGGGATTACAGGTGTGCGCCACCACACCTAGCTAATATTTGTATTTTTAGTAGAGACAGAGTTTTGCCATGTTTGCCAGTCTGGTCTCAAACTTCCGAGCTCAGGTGATCCGCCTGCCTCAGTCTCCCAAATTGCTGAGATTACAGGCGTGAGCCACCGCACCTGGCTGCTACATTTTCTTTATTCTTTTTTCCATAGATGGAAGGAAACAGGTTCATTCCATCTCTTCACTATTGTGAATAGTTGCAAATTTTTTTACACTTGTTATCAAGAGATAGAATTTAGTTTCTCTTCCCTTGAAAATGAGCTTAGACCCCTGCTTCTGTAAGTAGAATACAGTGGAAGTGCTACTCATGACCTGCCAAAGTCAGGTCATAAAAGATGACACTGTTTCTACTTGGCTCTCCTTCCTGGGGTGAGTGCACTTGGAACCCATTCACCATTTTGTGAGAAAGCCCAGGCCATGTAGGGAGGTTATGTGTGGGTGTTCCACCAGATAGTCTGAGCTGAGACCCTGGCTGACAGCCTACATTCACCAGGAGATATTTAAGCAAGGAAACCTTCGACACTATTCTAACTCCATACTCTTTGAAGGCAACCACATGCTGAGCCAGAGCTGCCTAGTGGAGTCTAGTCAGCCTCCAGATTTGTGAGAAGACTAATAAACATCATTGTAACTTTATATCTTGGGGTGAGTTTTGTTTGTTTGCTAGTTTGTTAGTTTGTCACTCTGTCCCCCAGGCTGGAGTGCAGTCGTGTGATCTCAGCTAACCACAACCTCCACCTCTGGAGTTGAAGTGATTCTCCTGCCTGAATAGCTAGGATTACAGGCATGTGCTAATACACCTGGCTAATTTTTGTATTTTTAGTAAAGATGGGGTTTGATCATATTGGCCAGGCTGGTCTCTAACTCCTTACCTCATGATCCACCTGCCTTGGCCTCCCAAAGTGCTGGGATTTCAGGCGTGAGCCACCATGCCCAGCTGGTATGTTACACAGCAACAGACAGCAAATACACAAAGTCATCTTCCAATATAAACATTATGTTACTTACTTCTCCACTTGACAGCATTTAATGGTTTAGAATTGGGTGTAAAGACGAAACCCAATCCTGAATCCATCTGACAAGGGATTAATAGCCAGAGTATATAAGGAGCTCAGGGGAAACAAAATCAATAGGGGAAAAAAAGCTCTAGTAATCTGATTTAAAATAAGCAAAAGATCAGAATAGACATTTCTCAAAAGAAGACATAAAAATGGCAAATGAATATATGAAAAGGTGCTCAACATCACTGATCATCAGAGAAATGCAAATTAAAACTACAATGAGCTATCATTGCACCCCCGTTAAAATGGCTTATATCCAAAAGACGGGCAGTAACAAATGCTAATGAGGATGTGGAGAAAAGGGAACCCTGGTACACTATTTGTGGGAATGTAAATCAGGGCAACCACCATGGAGAACGGCTTGGAGGGTCCTCAAAAAACTACAAAGAGAGCTATTTTATGACAAAGTAATCCTACTGCCGGGTACCCAGAAGAAAGAAAATCAGCATATCAAAGAAATATCTACATTTCTATATATTGCAACACTGTTCACAATAGCCAAGATTTGGAAGCATCTAGGTGTCCATCAACAGGTGAATGGATAAAGAAAATGTGGTAAAACACATATACAATGGGATATTATTCAACCATGAAAAAGAATAGAATCCTGTTATTTGCCAAAACATGGGTAGAACTGGAGATCATTATGTTAACTAAAATAAGTCAGACACAGAAAGACAAATTTTGCATGCTTCCAGTCATTTGTGGGTGCTAAAATTTAAAACAATGAAACTCATGGAGATAGAGAGTAGAATGATGGTTACCAAAGGCTGGGGAGGGTAGTGGGCTGGAAGGGGTGCACAGGAATAATTAATGGGTACAAAAATACAGTTAGAATAAATAAGATGTAGTCCTTGGTAGTAAAACAAAGTTATAATGGTAAACGATAATTTCTTGCATATTTTAAAATAGCTAAAAGAGGCCAGGTGTGGTGGCTTATGCCTGTATTCCCAGAATTTTGGGAGGCCAAGGCAAGTGGATAACCTGAGGTCAGGAGCTCAAGATCAGCCTGGCCAACACGGTGAAGCCCTATCTCTGCTAAATATACAAAAATTAGCTGGGCGTGGTGGTGTGCACCTGTAATTCCAGCTACTCAGGAGGCTGAGGCAGGACAACTGCTTGAATGTCAGAGGCGGAGGTTTCAGCAAGCCAGAGGTTGCAGTAAACCAAGATTGTGCCACTACACTCCAGCCTGGGCAACAGAGTGAGACTCCATGTCAGAAAAAAAGGAATAAGTTCAAAGAACAACTCAATGAAATAAAACGAGAAGGCAAGATTAGAGAAAAAAGAGTAAAAAGGAATGAACAAAGTCTCCAAGAAATATGGGACTATGTGAAACGACCTAATCTACGTTTGATAGGTGTACCTGAATGCAACAAAGAGAATGAATCCAAGATGGAAAATACTCTTCAGGATATTATCCAGGAAAACTTCCCCAACCTAGCAAGGCAGACCAATATTCAAGTCCAGGAAATACAGAGGACACCACAAAGATATTCCTCAAGAAGAGCAACCCCAAGGCACATAATCGTCAGATTCACCAGGGTGGAAATGAAGGAGAAAATGCTAATGGCAGCCAGAGAGAAAGGTCGGGTTACTCACAAAGGGAAGCCTATCAGACTCACAGCAGATTTCTCAGCAGAAACACTACAAGCCAGAAGAGAGCAGGGGCCAATATTCAACATTCTTAAAGAAAAGAACTTTCAACCCAGAATTTCATATCCAGCCAAACTAAGCTTCATAAGTGAAGGAGAAATAAAATCCTTTACGAACAAGCAAATACTCAGAGATTTCATCACCAACAGACCTGATTTACAACAGCTCCTGAAAGAAGCACTAAACATAGAAAAGAACAACCAGTACCAGCCACTGCAAAAACATACCAAATGGTAAACAGCATCAACATAATGAAGAATCTGCATCAACTAACAGGCAAAACAGCCAGCTAGCATCAAAACAGCAGGATCAAACTCACACATAACAATATTAACCCCAAATGTAAATGGGCTAAATGCCCCAGTCAAAAGACAGAGACTGGCAAATTGAATAAAAAGCCAAAACCCATTGGTGTGCTGTATTCAGGAAACACATCTCAAATGCAAGGATACACAAAGGCTCAAAATAAAGGGATGGAGGAAGATTTACCAAGCAAATGGAGAGCAAAAAAAAAGCAGGAGTTGCGATTCTTGTCTCTGATAAAACAGACTTTAAACCAACAAAGATCAAAAGAGACCAAGAAGGAGATATTACATAATGGTAAAAGGATCAATGCAACAAGAAGAGCTAATGATTCTAAAAATATACGCACCCAATACAGGAGCACCCAGATACATTAAGCAAGTTCTTAATGACTTACAAAGAGACTTAGAATCCAACACAATAATAGTGGGAGACTTTAACATCCCATTGTCAATATTAGACAGATCAACGAGATAGAAAATTAACAAGAATATCCAGGACTTGAATTCAGACCTAGACCAAGAAAACCTAATAGACATTTACAGAACTCTCCACCCTAAATCCACAGAATATACATTCTTCTCAGCACCACAACATACCTACTTTAAAATTGACCAAATAATTGGAAGTAAATCACTCCTCAGCAAATGCAAAAGAATGGAAATCATAACAAACAGTCTCTCAGACCACAGTGCAATCAATTCAGAACTCAGAATTCAGAAACTAACTCAGAACTGCACAGCTTCACGGAAACTGAACAACTGGCTCTTGAATGTTGACTAAATAAACAACGAGAACAAAGACACGACATACCAGAATCTCTGGGACACATTTAAAGCAGTGTCTAGAGGAAAATACATAGCAATAAATACCCACATGAGAAGCAAGGAAAGATCTGAAATTGACACCCTATCATCAAAATAGAAAGAGCTAGAGGAGCAAGACCAAAAAAAAAACAAAAAAACTCAAAACCTAGCAGAAGACAAGAATAACAAAGATCAGAGCAGAACTGAAGGAGATAGAGACACAAAAAACCCTGAAAAAAATCAATAAATCCAGAAGCTGGTTTTTCTTTTTTTTTTTTTTTTTTTAATTGTTTTTGGGTCTGTTTTCCAGGCTTGAGTGCAATGGCGTGATCTCGGCTCACCGCAACCTCCGCGTCCTGGGTTCAGGCAATTCTCCTGCCTCAGCCTCCTGAGTAGCTGGGATTACAGGCATGCGCCACCATGCCCAGCTAATTTTTTGTATTTTTAGTAGAGACGGGGTTTCACCGTGTTGACCAGGATGGTCTCGATCTCTTGACCTCGTGATCCACCCGCCTCGGCCTCCCAAAGTGCTGGGATTACAGGCTTGAGCCACCGCGCCCGGCCTCAGAAGCTGGTTTTTCGAAAAGATCAACAAAATAGACCACTAGCCAGATCAATAAAAAAGAAGAGAGAGAATAATCAAATAGATGCAATAAAAAGCGATAAAGGGGATATCACCACTGATTCTACGGAAATACAAACCATCATCAGAGGTTATTACAAAAAACTCTATGCACATAAACTAGTAAACCTGGAAGAAATGGATAAATTCCTGGACACTTGCCTCCTCCCAAGCCTAAACCAGGAAGAAGTCGAAACTCTGAATAGACCAATAACAAGGTGTGAAGTTGAGGCAGTAAGTAAGAGCCTACCACCCAAAAAAAGCCCAGGTCCAGATGGGTTCACAGCCGAATTCTACCAGACACACAAAGAGGAGCTAGTACCATTCCTTCTGAAACTATTCCAAATAATCCAAAAAGAAGGAATCCATCCCAAATCATTTTATGAGACCAACATCATCCTGATACAAAAACCTGGCAGAGACTCGGCAAGAAAAGAAAACTTTAGGCCAATATCCATGATGAACATAGATGCAAAAACCTTCAATAAAATACTGGCAAACCGATTGCAACAGCATATCAAAAAGATTATCCACCATGATCAAGTAGGCTTCATCCCGGGGATGCAAGGCTGGTTCAACATATGCAAGTCTATAAACAATTCACCACATAAACAGAGCCAAAGACAAGAACCACATGATTATCTCAACTGATGCAGAGAAGGCCTTTGACAAAATTCAACAGCCCTTTATGCTAAAAACCCTCAATAAACTAGGTACTGACGGAATGTATCTCAAAATAATAAAAGCTATTTACGACAAACCAACAGCCACTATCATACTGAATGGGCAAAAACTGGAAGCATTCCCTTTGAAATCTGGCACTAGACAAGTATGCCCTCTCTTACCACTCCTATTCAATACAGTATTGGAAGTTTTAGCCAGAGCAATCAGGCAAGAAAAAGAAATAAAGGGGATACAAACAGGAAAGGAGGAAGTCAAATTGTCTCTATTTGCAGACGACATGATTGTATATCTAGAAGACCCCATGGTCTCAGCCCAAAACCTCCTGAAACTGATAAGCAACTTCAGCAAAGTCTCAGGATACAAAATCAATGTGCAAAAATCACATGCATTCCTATACACCAATAACAAACTTAAAGAGAGCCAAATCAAGAACGAACTGCCATTCACAATTGCTACAAAGAGAATAAAATACCTAGGAATACAACTAACAAGGAACGTAAAGAACCTCTTCAAGGAGAACTACAAACCACTGCTCAACGAAGTAAGAGAGGACACGAACAGATGGAGAAACATTCCATGTTCATGGTTAGGAAGAATCAATATGAAAATGGCCATACTGCTCAAAGTAATTTACAGATTCAACGATATCCCCATCAAGCTACCAATGACCTTCTTCACAGAACTGGAATAAAACACCTTAAACTTCATATGGAACGAAAAGAGAGCCCACATAGCCAAGTCAATTCTAAGCAAAAAGAACAAAACAGGAGGCATCACACTACCGGACTTCAAACTATACTACAAGGCTACAGTAATCAAAACAGCATGGTACTGGTACCAAAACAGAGATATAGACCAATGGAACAGAAAAGAGGCCTCAGAGGCTACACCACACATCTACAACAATCTGATCATTGACAGACCTCACAAAAACAAGCAATAGGGAAAGGATTCCCTGTTTAATAAATGGTGTTGGGAAAACTGGCTAGCCATGTGCAGAAAGCAGGAACTGGACCCCTTCCTGACACCTTACACTAAAATTAACTCCAGATGGATTAAAGACTTAAACATAAGAACTAACACCATAAAAACCCTAGAAAAAAACCTAGGCAAAACCATTCAGGACATAGGCATAGGCTAGGGCTTCATGACCAAAACACCAAAAGCATTGGCAACAAAAGCCAAAATAGACAAATGGGACCTAATCAAACGCCACAGCTTCTGCACGGCAAAACAAACAGTCATTAGAGTGAATCGGCAACCAACAGAATGGGAAAAAAATTTTGCAATCTACCCATCTGACAAAGGGCTAATATCCAGGATCTACAAAGAACTAAAACAGATTTACAAGAAAAAAACAAGCCCATTCAAAAGTGGGCAAAGAATATGAAGAGATGCTTTACAAAAGAAGACATACATGAGGCCAACAAACATATGAAAAATGCTCATCATCACTGGTCATTAGAGAAATGCAAATCAAAACTACATTGAGATACCATCTCATGCCAGTTAGAATTGGCGATCATTAAAAAATCTGGAGACAACAGATGCTGGAGAGGATGTGGAGAAATAGGAACACTTTTACACTGTTGTGTTGATGGGAGTGTAAATTAGATCAACCATTGTGGAAGACAGTGTGGCAATTCCTCTAGGACCTAGAAATAGAAATTCCATTTGATCCAGCAATCCCATTACTGGATATATATCCAAAGGATTATAAATCGTTCTATTATAAAGACACATGCACACGTATGTACATATTGGCACTGTTTGCAATAGCAAAGACCTGGAACCAACCCAAATGCCCATCGATGATAGACTGGACAGGGAAAATGTAGCACATATACACCGTGGAATACTATGCAGCCATCAAAAATGATGAGTTCGTGTCCTTTGTAGGGACATGGATGAACCTGGAAACCATCATTTTCAGCAAACTGACACAAGAACAGAAAATCAGACACTGAATGTTATCACTCATAAGTGGGTGTTGAACAATGAGAACACATGGACACATGGAGGGCAGCACTACACACTGGGGTCTGTCGGGGGGAAATAGGGGAGGGACAGCGGAGGGTGGTGACTTGCGGAGAGATAGCATGGGGAGAAAGTCAGCAAATCACACCGCCATGTGTGTACCTATGCAACAATCTTGCATGTTCTTCACACGTACCCCAAAACCTAAAATGTAATTTAAAAAAAAAGGAATAAGTATCAAGGAAGGGAGACTTTGTGATTTGCCACCTGTACATGGAAATCCTACTTAACATTGACATTTTCCATTTGGTGGCATTTCTATAATATAAAATTAAAACTAAACTAATTAAAAAGAAAATGAGGCTGGGCACTTTGGGAGGCTGAAAGGGGAGGATCACTTGAGGGTAGGAGTTTGAGACTAGCCTGGGCAACATACAGAGACCCCTGTCTTTGCAAAAATAATTTATAAAAAATTAAACAGGTGTTCCAGGCGCAGTGGCTCATGCATGTAATCCCAGCACTATGTAAGGCCGAGGCAGGTGGATCACCTGAGGTCAGGAGTTTGAGACCAACCTGGTCAATGTGGCAAAACACCGTCTCTATTAAAAATACAAAAATTAGCCAGGTATGGGTAGCAGATGCCTGTAAGCTTAGCTACTCGGGAGGCTGAGGCAGGAGAATCATTTGAACTCGGGACGCAGAGTTTACAGTGAGCTGAGACTGGGCACTCCAGCCTGGACAACAAAAGTGAAACTCTGTCTTGAAAAAAAAGTTAACCAGATGTGGTGGCATATGCCTCTAGTCCCAGCTCCTCAGGAAGTAATGTGAGAGGATCACTTTAGCCCAGGAGACAGAGGCTGCAGTGAGCCATGATTTCACCACTGCACTCCAGCCTGAGTGAGAGAGCTACACCTTATCTCTAAAAACAAAAACAAAGCCCAGTAGCAGTGGCTCACACATGTAATCCCAGCACTTTGGGAGGTCAAGGCAGGTGGGTCACCTGAGGTCAGGAGTTCAAGACCAGCCTGGCCAACATGGTGAAACTCATCTCTACTAAAAAATACAAAAATTAGCCAGGCGTGGTGGCAGGTGCCTGTAATCCCAGCTACTCAGTAGGCTGAGGCATGAGAATTGCTTGAACCCGGGAGACAGAGGTTGCAGCAAGTTGAGATCACACCACTGCACTCCAGCCTGGGCGACAGAGCGAGACTCTCTCTCAAAGAAAAAACAAATCTAAAACAGAAAAAACAAAAAAATTCCAGCTGCTTGTCAAGAGACTGGAGATGGAGGGGCAAGAGTGGGAGCAGGACATCTGGTAAGGAGCTGTGACATCAACATCTTTTGATCACTGCAGGCCATGTTGTAAGCGGGACCTCTGCAAGAATGTCACCCAGCCTCAGATGCCTTAATTCTGACCCTCAGTGCTGGTAGAGGCCCTGGGAGGTCACATTGTGGAGGCTTCTTGGGAAAGTGTTGGCTCTTCAAAATCAACATCTTGGTTCATTCCTTTGATGCTGGAGACAATAACCTGTCTCTCCTCATGTCTGTTCAAGACAGTTTCAGAGTGCCTTTTAGTCCAGGAGCTTGTCTGCTCTGGAGTTTGTGCAAACACAAATAATCATCACAGGCTCTCAGGCCACGTGTCTTGGTTATGATGCAAAGTAGTCCTCCAACAGTGGACGTCTACATTGTGGAAGCTGAAGTTCCCAAACACCTTTTTTTTGTTTTTGTTTTTGTTTTGAGAAAGAGTCTCGCTCTATAGCCCAGACTGGAGTGCAGTGGCACAATCTCAGCACACTGCAACATCTGTCTCCTGGGTCCCAGTTCAAGTAATTCTCTTGTCTCAACCTCCTGAGCAGCAGAGATTACAGGCAAGTGCCACCATGCCCAGATGATTTTTGTATTTTTAGTAGAGACAGGGTTTCACCATGTTGGCCAGGCTGGTCTTAAACTGCTGACCTCGTGATCCACCCGCCTTGGCCTCCCAAAGTGCTGGGATTACAGGTGTGAGCCACTGTACCTGGCCATGTTTTTTTTTTTTTTTTAATATATAGAGACAGGGTCTCACTATGTTTCCCAGGCTGGTCTTGAACTCCTGGCCTCAAGGGATCCTACAGCCTCAGCCTCCCAAAGTGCTGGGATTACAGGTGTGAGCCACTGAGCCTGGCTCTTTTTTGTTGTTTTAGACAGGGCCTTGCTCTGCCACCCAGGCTGGAGTGCAGTGACATGATTACAGCTCACTGCAGCTTCAAATTCCTGGGCTCAAGTGATCCTCCTGCCTCAGCCTCCTGAGGAGCTGGGACCACAGGCATGTACCACCACAACCAGCCAATTAAAATTTTTTTTTTTTTTTTTCTAGAGACAAGGTCTCACTATATTGACCAGGCTGGTCAAACTCTTGATCTAAAGTGATTCTCCTGCCTTCACCTCCCACCTTGAACACCTCTTTTCCCAGCCTTGAAAATAAAATCCACACTTTGAAAGGAGGAAGAAATGGGGAGGACAGAAAGCCAAGAAGCCAACCTTGCCTAGTCTTGCCTAGATAAACACTAAATACCTTAAATAGGTTTTACTTCAATGATACAGCTAATTAAGGGATTTTTAAAAATTCCTATATGACATGTGAATAGCTTCTTCCTCAGTAAATTTGAACATCAAGTGTCTGCGATTGAATGAAGCAAATATTTTACACATGGGAACCCCTCGTTAAATGATTAAATTACACAAAGGGGTGGATGGGACAGGGACAAGGCGGGGGGGTGTCACTGTGCCTGTGTCTCCGTGCTCCACACCCACCTCCTCTGTCCCTGCTCCCCATGATGCTTGTCAAGGGGCACACTGCTGACCAAGGGGTTACCAGGTAGCATATCCAGAGGACACCTTTCTCAGCTTCATGGAATTCACTTACTTTGATCTAATTTGTTTATGCATAACATTCATTAAATGTTCACATCCACTGCTTCTGAATATCTACACCAACTGTTAAATAGTGATGTTACTGGATTCTTACAACAAACTGCAGGCCGGGCCCAGTGGCTCACACCTGTAATCCTAACACTTTGGAAGGCTGAGGCCAGTAGATCACCTGAGGTTAGGAGTTCGAGACCAGCCTGCCCAACAAGGTGAAACCTCTTTACTAAAAAAAAAAAAAAAAAAAAAAAAAAAAAAAAAAATTAGCCAGGCTAATTTTGGTGGCAGGAGACAAGGAGAATCACTAGAACCTGGGGTTGGAGGTTGCAGTGAGCCAAGATTGCATCACTACACTCCAGACTGGGCGATAGAGAGAAACTCTGTCTCTAGAAAATAAAATAAAATAAAACAAGCCAGAGATGGGTTTATTTTAGCTTCATTTTGAAATTGTGAAGACAGGCAGCAAGACTGAGTTGTCTAAATTCAGGCAAGCTGGAGACACGTGGTCCCTGGCCCTCTACAGCCAGAGTGTGTGGGCCGACTGTGTGGTGAAATGCGCTTCCCCTCCATCTGCGAGCACTACCATGTACCATATCTGGCCTAGCCACCTGGAGACCTGGGAGTCTTTGGTTTTCCCTGACCTTTGCCACCAGATCTGCTTACTTGCAAGTCCTGTTGGTTGCACCCCTCCCAGCCTTTCTCCTGTCTTCCTACTTTTTATCTTGGTCATTGTTTCCACCCAGCTATAAACATCTGGCCCAGGTTACTACAATAGCTCCTAGTTAGAGTCCTCTAAACTCTCTTTTTTAAACAAAGATGGCCGAACAGGTGGCTCACGCCTATAATCCAAGCACTTTGGGAGGCTGAGGCAGGAGGATCACTTGAGGCCAAGAGTTCAAGACCAGCCTGGGCAACAGAGTTGGACTCCCATCTCTACAAAAAAAAAATTAAAAATTAGCTGGGTGTAAGAAATAATGTATACAGTGGTCCATTTCCAAGACAAAGTGCCTTAAATCAGCTTAAGTCAGCAAACTAAAAAGAAACAAGCTATACTAGGCCCCTGCTTGGATAGCCAATGCCTGGGTGTCACCCCCCACCCCCTTAGTTGCCCTCACCTGAACCAAAGAAGTTTAGTCTAAGATGAAAGTTTATGAGCCTACAAAATAGCTCACTTTGTCTGTTCTTATTAGCCTGCCCAGCTACTTAGGTCATAAGTCAAACACTTGAAGAGCCCCTGAGCTAACTAGGATTGCAATGCATTGTGGGCTGCAACAAAACGCAGCAGGACAACCCTAAACAAAACACCTAAAGCCCCTGCCCAACAACCAATAGGCGACATCCAGGAAGAGTGTGACCCCATAGTACTCAGCCTATGAGGAACCAGGGGAGGGACCTGTGCACTAGAGGATAAACTGCTTGTTGAAACTGTGCTGGGTGTGTCTGCTGCCAGGCACCCAATATTGTAAGACCATCATTAAAAGTCTCACTTTTGCTGTTCTCTGGGTCTCTGAGTCCATTCTTTGGGTTTGAAGGGGTTTGTTTTTCATAACGGGGAATAAAAGTCAATATATTCCCTTGGGGGTAAGTATTGGGATCTAGGTGGGTTATAGCTAAAGATGTTTGGTCATTATGATATGCTCTAGAAGAGTATATGACCTATCTCATCCCCACAAAGTTGGTGACATAATACTAACACAGGAAACAAGGGGGAAAAAACAGGTTATGCTGAAGCTGATTTAAATTGCTATTTTGAGGTTGCAGCAGTTGAGTTCGATTTCATGAGGAAACATGACTCAGGATAGCTGAGCTGTTAATAAGGCTGTGATTTCCCAGGTAGGAGAATGGGTGTGTGAGCATCTGGAAGACGAAGAAAGCAAAGAGAATGAAAGGCGGCAGGAGAAAGGCACCATATATGAGGGAGCAGTAAGGCCACGCTGTGACAGCAGGATAGCTAAGACATTTATTTATTTTTTATTTTTTTGAGATGGAGTCTCACTCTGTCACCAGACTGGAGTGCCAGTGGCACTGTCTCGGTTCACTGTAATCTCCTCCTCCCAGGTTCAAGTGATTCTCCTGCCTCAACCTCCCGAGTAGCTGGGATTACAGGCGTGCGTCTCCACACCTGGCTAATTTTTGTATTTTCAGTAGAGATGAAGTTTCACCATGATGGCCAGGCTGGTCTCAAACTCCTGATCTTAAGTGATCCGCTCACCTTGGCCTTCCGAAGTGCTGGGATTATAGGTGTGAGCCACCGCGCCTGGCCAGCTTAGACATTTAGATGTAATGTTAAGCATTAGAGAATCAAATGCTTTGGAGAAAATGGGTGACTTAAAACTGTTAAACACAACATTGATCTGACAGCAGTATTTATTTAATTTTATTTATTTTTTCTTTTTTTTTAAGACAGAGTCTACCTCTGTTGCCCAGGCTGGAGTGCAGCGGCGCAACCGTGGCTCACAGCGACCTTCACTACTCAAGATTCAAACGATTCTCTTGCCTCAGCCTCCTGACTAACTGGGATTACAGGTGCATACCACCATGCCTGGCTAATTAAAATATTTTTTTTTTTTTGGTAGAGACAGGGTCTCTCTATGTTGCCCAGGCTGGACATACTCATTTTAAATGGAAGGGGACAGGGCTGGGGAAGTGGAGTGGAAAGAATGTTAGAGTCAGGCTTGTGCCTTGGCCTGACCTCGCTGAGGCTGTTTCCTGATCTGTGAAACGACGTGGATTTCAAAAGGCTCTTCAGAGGATTAGTCAGTCATCCACCAAATATTTTACTTGGTTTCTAAAAAGTGCCAGACAATTTGCTAGGTGTCAAAAGTACAACAGGCAAGAAAAAATATAGTCTTGGTTCTCCAGGATCTTACTGGCTGGGGTAGGAGTCAGATAATAAAAAAGGCAACAAACAGATGAAACAGTGCTAAGTGTGGTTAAGTACCATGAAGAAGACAGGCAGCAGGAGAGTTACCATTCAGTTTAAGAGGCCAGGGAAAATCTCTTTGAGGGAGTGAGACTTACTGAGACCAGAGAATCAAGAAGGAGCCTATCAGTCAGAGCAAAGAGGGGCAGGCACGTTGGCTCATGCCTATAATCCCAGCACTTTGGGAGTTTGAGGCAGGCAGATCATTTGAGGTTGGGAGTTTGAGACCAGCCTCGCCAACATGGTGAAACCCCATCTCTACTAAAAATACAAAAAAAAGCCAGGCGTGGTGGTGCATGCCTGTAATCCTAACTACTCAGGAGGCTGAGGCAGGAAAATTGCTTGAACCTGAGAGGTGGAGCTTGTAGTGAGCCAAGATTGTGCTACTGAACGCCAGCTGGGTGACAGAGCAAGACTTCACCTATAAATAAGTAAATAAATGAATAAATAAATAGCCAAAGGGAGGAACATTGCTTGAACCTGGGAGGTGGAGGTTGCTGTGAGCAGAGATCGTGCTACTGCATGCCATATGGGTGACAGAGTGAGAATCCATCTATAAATAATAGCCAAAGGAAAGAACATTCCAGAGAGAGGAATGAGATATGGAGGGACAGGAAGAGCCTGCTATGTTCTGGAAATACTTCTAGAGCACAAGCAGTGGGGTGGGAAGAAAGGCCTGCAAAGAGATGGAGAGTAGGATCCTACTGGCCCTGGCAGGAGTCTGAGCTTTCTTCTAAGTGAAATGGAAGACACCGAAATGCTTCAGGTGGGGAGGATCCTTACAGATGTGCACTCTAAAAACTCTAATTCTACTGTGTGATCCAAGAAATACACTGAAGGTAGGATCAAAGATCTTGGATGTGGATGGAAAGAGGGAGGAAAAGGGTGGAAGCAAGTGCGACTGTTAGCTAAGTGTCTGGCTTGAGTGATAGAGAAGAAAATACTGCAACTTCTGATATGGATATGGCCTATATGGATAGGTACAAGTTACGTTCTATGTGCCAGGCATGAAAAGGGTATTTAACATGAGCTAACATGTTAAATACCCTTTTCATGCCTGGCACATAGAACATACAATGTTAAATACCCTTTTCATGCCTGGTACATAGAACATACCATATGGGAATTATTACCACCATCTGAACATCCTGTGTTCCATAACAATGACTTCTAGAAAATGAGTGGAAATAGTAACTTCTGTGTCCTTAAGCACAATATTCAAGCATGAAATAGAACAGGATTCTGAAAGTGGATGGCGATAGGTTCTCTCTGAAATAATTATAGAAAACTTCACAAAAAAATGATGATGCAGGCCAGGCACTGTGGCTGACGCCTGTAATCCTAGTACTTTTGGAAGCTGAGGCAGAAGAATCTTTTGAGTCCAGGCTGGGCAATGTAATGAGACCCTGTCTCTACCCACTGCCCCCTCCTCCCAGCCAAAAATAAGCTGATAGCTCCAGGGGATTATATACAATACAAACAACCGAGGAAACTGTGGTTCATCACAGCAGCATCTGATAAGGTCTTGTGCTTCTCAAATCACATTAAAGAAGACATGTAACTACCAGAATGCCTCACATTGAAAGCTTTTATTTTGAAAAATAAAATACAAAAGTCATTAGGTTGTAAATGTATAATGGTAATTTCCCAACTTCTCAGAAACAAAATGAATCATTTAAATAATTATTTATTATTACCCACATCAATACATTTAAACAGGCACACATGTGCTACAAAACATTAGAACATGTACTGACAACCTATTTCAAAAGGAAACTGTGCAAGTCTGCTTACAGGATCCCATTTTTAAACCCTCCCCTTGAAAACAAACTTCATAATCTGGTAAGAAAAGAGGACAAGAGCAGTTTTAACAGGAAACACATGTCCCTTCTGGGCTCCTTATCGCAGGGTTGTGCATGGAATCAGGATCAAGAGCTCTTTACGCAGGAGGCATATCCCTCACGAGGCCCAAAGGTGTGTGGACACCTCCATCCTCTCAGTGGGAGGAAACTGGCAAACAAAGAGGAGACACAGCCAAGGTGCAGACGCTCGGAGGGGGCAGCCAGTCCTAGAAATTCCCCTTTGCTGAAAAGGCAGCCTTTCCTAGGGCAAACAAACAGACTGTGGTTACAGGTGTGGAGTCCTGGTGTGTTCTCCCTGTCCCTTCATTTCCTCCTTCCCCTTCCCAGCTCTAGGCCTGGACAAGCCAGGTGGTCCAGAAGGCTCCTGCAGGTCAGGGGCAGGAGGATCCACACTGAGAACAGCTGCCTCAGGAGGGCTGCTTGGGAGGCACACAAGCCCTCACTCTGGTGCTTTCAGAGACATGTAAGCAGCTGCTGGGTGCAAAATGAGCAGATGGTGGCTGAAACCAGGGCTGCTCCTGCCCATTTCTAAATGACTGCCACTGTCGTCTGCTATTGACACCACTTGGGGGCACTGTCAGGGGCATCAAGTGACCAGGGCTCAGCACCCTGACTCCTCATGTGAAGAAATGATCCCAAGGTTCTTTCAGTGTCCAGGGCTCAGCACCCTGATTCCTCCTCATGTGAAGAAATGATCCTAAGTTTCTTTCAGTGTCCAGGGCTCAGCACCCTAGTTCCTCCTCATGTGAAGAAATGATCCTAAGATTCTTTCAGTGTCCAGGGCTCAGTAACCTGATTCCTCATGTGAAGAAATGATCCTAAGGTTCTTAAGTGTCCAGGGCTCAGCACCCTGATGCCTCCTAATGTGAAGAAATGATCCTAAGGTTCTTTAAGTGTCCAGGCTCGGCACCCTGATTCTTAGTCATGTGAAGAAATGATCCTAAGGTTAAGTGTCCAGGGGTCAGCACCCTGATTCCTCATGTGAAGAAATGATCCTAAGGTTAAGTGTCCAGGCTCAGGACCCTGATTCCTCCTCATGTGAAGAAATGATCCTAAGGTTCTTTAAAGGAAGCTCCAGAGAACACAATGACCGTTACTGAAATGCCGATGCAACCCGAAAGATAATATAGTATCCATCCTAACGGCTTCGCTGTGTCCCCATTTCTCCAGAGTTCTCCTCACCACGAGTGGGCACGTCCAAGCCTCTACACACAGCAAGGGTGAAATGCTGCCGAGGCATCTGCCGATGCAGTCCATCTTACAACATGGCTGGTAATAAATCAGGCCTTGTGTGTGTGTCTGGTGGGGTGGGCAGGGAGATTACCTGTGAACTTTGAAAGCATTTTGTATAAACAAAATTATCCAAGGGCTGACAGCTGCTGCTAAATATGCAGATCCGCAGAGCATAAGTCTAACATTCTGCATTTGCTCCTTAGCAGAAAGGAAACCTGAATCCTACAACCTATCAATATTAGTAGCTCTGCCATCTGGGATTTTGACGGGACGGATCAGTGTCCATGTACCTCTTATATCTATAATCCATCAATGCACAGCAAGTTATATTCAACCTGTTTTCTTACTGGTAAAAGAGGAATACTGCCTGCTTGTCACAGTGGTTTGAGAACTGAATACAATTTTACATATAGCTGTATCTATAATTTAGCGTATCTGTTAGATATATCATCATACACACAAACACACACACACACACACATGCACACACACAAATACAATGCTTGGTATTTTATGCCTGGTATGGAATATGCACAATTACTATATAAAGTAAAAATAAAAACAAAAGTCAACAAGTAAACTATGAGAAAAAAATCACTATCAATATCAGATTTTGAGACAGAGTCTCGCTCTGTCACCCAGGCTGGAGTGTGCAGTGGTGCGATCTTGGCTCACTGCAACTCTCTGCCTTCTGGGTTCAACTGATTCTCCTGCCTCAGCCTGCTGAGTAGTTGGGACTACAGGTGCCCACCACCAAGCCCAGCTAAGTTTTGTATTTTTTTTTTTCTTTTTGAGATAAAGTCTCACTCTTGTCACCCAGGCTGGAATGCAATAGTGCTATCTCGGTTCACCACAACCTCTGCCTCCTGGGTTCAAGTGATTCTCCTGCCTCAGCCTCCCGAGTAGCTGTGATTACAGGTGTCTACCACGCCCAGCTAAGTTTTGTAT